TGCCGGGTGGCTAGCACCAATGATTTCCACACTAAGATCATGTGGGAAAAAGGGAGCCCCCTCTTGCTCACCCAAACGACCAGCCTCAAGGTGGTTGGATTCGGACCCATGTTGCTTTGCCAAGGGGCGAAATTCGTGCATGTCCGCATTTCGAAGCTGACTTGGCCCGAGCATAAATGAACAAGCAGACGCGTCTAGAATCAAAAGGTGGCAGATTCTTCGATACACAATCAAAGATACACTGGGCGTCCATGGGGTGCATACTGAATATGGGCGCGTCAGTTCCGTCTTGGCGTATCGAGTGCCCCCCGCAAAAAACGGCGCCAGTTGCTCCGCAAAAGAATCAGTACTGGATAGTCTGCGCTTAGCCAACCTTAGCCTTTACTGTGACCCAAGACATCAGGTAGTCTCGATTCTTTTATGACTTGACTGAACTGCGCCCTTTCTGAAAGAAAAACCAGCTTCCGGAGGCCAATCAGGATTTCTGCACCCCCTGCGCAGCGTTCTTTTGCCCTCCGCCGCCGGGCGCTTAGTCCAAGTTGATCGAGGAAATCTCGGGCCTGGCCGCATGTGGTGAGGGAAGCAGCCACCAATCTTGAACCATGTCCAGTGCCCCCCGGATTTCCGAGGAGGAAAGCCATAGGGTCCAAAGGCATCGCCAATCTGAACTCAAGCGATGTCTTTCGCATGTCCACGGTGTTCCTTGCTCGCTGCCCTGAATTCACTGGGCTGCCCGAACTGATCCCCTGCCACAAGTTGAACTTGTGGGGTAAATACGGAAACCCAACCACTAAATCTACTAAATACCTGAGAACACCAAAAGGAACCGGACGATTCGCTGGGAACCACCAAGTCCAACGCTTGGTATCCAAGTCTTACATCTTGCGACAGGAGTCGGATGTCAGGGATCTTACACTCACAAAATAGTGTCCCCTCCTTTTGTTTCCCTTTAAAACCGGAAATGTGTGTCCTTTCTTTACGGGTGCCATCAAACAGGTGGGGTTTGCTTGGGGGGGAGGAGCGTTTGGTTCCCGTTAAACCCACACACACACACACCAAAAGAAGCAAGAAAAACTACCGAGTGCTTCTCCACTGGACAAAACTCACAAGTGGATACCCAGCCCCATTCAAGTGCAAGTCCCCGCAAAGGTCAACCCCACCAGCTCCAAGAGGCCTGAGGCCTTGTGAAAAGCTCGCAGGCCTCGAGCACACGGGAAAGTGAGTTTAGGGTGTGCTTAGGATTGGCTTAGGGTTGGCTTGCGGCGTGTCAAGGGTAGCATCATGCAAGATACCAGGCGCGCTGGGTAGGTTTGGAGTTTGAGACTCAGTTTAGGCTCGGTCGCGGCTGGTTTGGTTTGACGGTTGGATTGGGGTTGCTTGAAAGTTGGTCAACGATGACCTTCGAATAGGCCGAATAAGAAGTGGCAATAGATCCACCCAACAACCTGGGTAGGTGACCCAAGCAAAATGGCCAGTCACCCTTATAGCTTGCTTGGGGGGAATTCTCAAAATGGATTTCGGAAAAGCCCGCTGTTTGGTTGGTAGTCCCGTTGGTGGTCCTGCATTAAGTTGTCTGCGAAACATATGCAATATTTCCAGTAGTGATAGATTCCCTTTAAAATCAACCGGGAAAAATAGACACATCTCGAGAAAAATAGGGGTAGTTGAAGGGAAACTTCAAGCAAACCAGCCAATTTAGGGGACTCCGAGCTCGAGAAACACGCTGACTTGCTGCTACTCGTTATGCGAATGGAAACGCCGGACTAGCGCCCGAACTCGAAGCCCCGGGGTCAAAAGGAACGTTGCCGAACGCCGCACCTGCGCCAGGATAAAACCCACCTTGCAAGGGGTATCTTCATGCTCTCGTGATTGGCACATGCACATCAGCACTTCGGGAGTGATAGTTTTCAAAGGAGATGATTTCCTAGTGGCTATTCAAGGCTCTCAAACGAATGGGAACCCAATGGAAACCCAGTAGAGAAAGATTTTATTGCCTCCCTTTGGGCTACCCGCTTAGGATCAGTTCTCAAACGACGCAGGTTCAAGCGCTAACGGGAGGCCTCCCGCCAGTTAGGGGCGAAAATCATGTCCTGTCCTTGCTTAGGACTAGTTTGAAGACAACTGAAGGACAGGTTCCATTCCAGTATCTCCTAAGCTATCTCCTAGTATTGACAACATATTGACAACAAGAATGTCCTTATGTCCTTGCTTATCTCCTTGCATCTCAGGTTCCATTCCGAGTTTGAAGACAACTGAATGCCAAACTGATGGCCAGGACCCCCAAATGTTTCCCTTTCAAACAGCCACAAAACGGGTAGCCGAAAACTCACAGAGACGCACACACACAGACCCATCCATTCACACACCAAGGGCCAAGCTTCGTAGATTCGTCCTGCGTGAGCGAAGAGACTTTTAAGTTCACACGTCCCTGGGTGTCTGAAGATGTACAGGGTTTAAGGGGCCAGGGGGACTTGGTACTCAAGACCTTTCTCTATTGACGTTTAAGTGGCAATCAGATTCTGCTTTGGGCGGTGAAAAAGCAAGTGTCGAAGAAGGGACACTCTGCCAAGGATTGCCAGGTTTAGAAACCCCTGTAATAGCCAGTCAGAGTCGGCTTATTAAAGTGAACCCTATGATCCGCCACGTCAAGAATTGGGTCAGGGGAAATTTGGGTCGCTGCTCCAGGTCCTCCCGAGACTAATCAAAAGATTCCCTGTTGCTTTGCCAGTTGCTCATGTGCTGTCAACGTGCTGTCGGTTACTCGTGGCTCGCACCATCTTGACGATCTGGCAAGCCAAACAGCAGCCATGAAACAGCATAGGGAGTAATCAAAAAGCCTCACTGATCACGCAGTGTGCCACATTTAACAGCTGTGTGGGCAAACTGCCACCCACTTCTTCAAAATGGGAATGTCCGTGTGTTGGCGCACGTGTGTGTGTGTGCGTGTATAAGTTTGCTCAGTTCGCAAGGCAAAACACGGTGCAAATAACTCATGCTTTCACAACATGTCCCCAAAGGCAACCGCGAGCGGGTTGATTCTCGGTCAATGGTTCCGCACCCTCTCTGGGTTAGAAGCGGCAACCCAAACTTGCAGTGAAATAAGTAAAGTAAACACATCCGAAACAATCAAACGCATGACTCCTCATGACCCAAGCCATCAAGCAGGAGCAAGCCTATGCTGGTGGTCTAACTCCAAACGAACAAAATCATTGCCATTCCCAGCAAGCCCAGGAAGGTCTCTTGCCCGCGGCGCATATCGAATCCTGGAAACCATCCGGAGGAAACTTTGACCCGCTATCTCTGCAATCACGTGCGGGTTCGCTGGTGAGAGGGCTACTAGATTATGCGTTCCAAGCGGGGGTGGCAAAATGAATCCTGAACATGGTGCCCGAACGAGTTCCCATGAATGAATTGGTGGCTGGATATTTGGAGGGAGAGTTGCGGCGAAGGCAGAGTTACCAAATACTCCCCAGCATATAATACCACTGCAAGTTAAGTTCATGCCTATTGCATGAGCACAAAACAATGAAAAACACATGCTAGACCTAGAGACTTGATAAGCTATCTCAAAGTTCGTGCGATGTCGAGGAACAAAGCGTAACTTTTGGAACAATCAAACATCACCTTACCCCTCATTGGTGGTCTGACGTCTTGGCTTGACGGGAGGCTTTCCATCTGGTCTGAACAGGAAGGCGCTCAAAACCTCCGACCACCAATCCAAGCAATTCCAAGTAAGGCGCAACAAGGCATCCTCGCTTCCTGAGTGCGTTGGCCAAACAAAGTTTGAACTTTGTGTTTACCGCCAAAACGGTCCAACCCCCAGAAGTGACTCGTATTTACCACCAAAACGGTTCAAACCCCAAACGTGACTCTACAGTCCGAAACGGAACTCAGGTCAATGGAAAGAACTCGGGCGAGCAGAAGATCCTCGGCCTCCATTGAGGTGTCTGAGGGCAAACAGTCCTGAAGCCGCGCTGAGATTGGAGCCTTGGATTTGAGTGTCATTTTGTGCTTGAGTTGGTACCCCTTTGGTTATGGCTGTTAAGAAACACCAAAAGGGACCCCCCCTATTTTGGGGGTCGCCTAAAAAAAGACACCATTTGCTGCGAACTTGGTGCTATGTCTGGCGTTTTGTTTACTCATAACCCATTGCCAACAAAGCTCCCGTCAAAAAACTCAAACGCCTTCGCCCTTGAGCCAGATTCATGCCATGGCGCTCCCAAATACCTCGAAATTGCCTGTTGGTTCACTTGAGAAGGCCCCTTTTGCTATTTGAAACCTCGTGGATGTGGGGAATTCGCCCTTGCAAATTTACCCTCCCCCCCCCGGCCAAGAAAAAACAGTTGGCCACTCGCAGTGTTCAGTGGCTCAAATGATTCTCGACATCAATGCAAGATACCGCGGTCCTGCCCTGTACCCTTAAATCCTTAGAAGACCTTACCAACTCATGGCGAACAGCTCGTTCTGTACCAATATGGGACCCTTCCCACATGGCCCGCAACGCCTCCGGAGATGTGTCTGAGGGATCCTGATGGCAAGCGGCTTCTCAGGCAATCTGTGCTCACGATACCGGAGGCACTTCTTACCGGAAAGCTGTGATGTGGACATGTCATTTGAATGGAGCCCGGAAAGCTGTCAATAAGAACGGGACCTCTTGTTGTGGAACACGTATTTTCTGGAGGTCACAATCCGCGGATATTAGTGACACTGAGCATCTAGGCTGCGATTTCAAAGCTCGTCTGCTTCTGACACAGCTGAGGAACAAATGGGACAATAATTGGATTGATGTGAGTACGTCCAGCAAGTTAGTGTCAAACAATATGCGCCTTCACACAGCCATTGAATGGTTTTGAATCCTCATATGCTTGAGGCATCTTGAGGCAATGTCCGCACTGTGTTTGGCGCCGATTATGATGTCAGGCGAACATTCCTCTACATGCAAACATCTGCAGACGCCTTTTCCCTTGAGCTGGAAAAAACTTGCTGCAAGATCTGACTTGTCACAACTTTGGCCAACCAAGGAGCACAAGCTTCCACTTCTGGCGACCGGAGTCATCATCTCTGCCGAATAGGTCAACCTTCCCATCAGGTGTGCAACTCAACAAACGGTCGTTCTTTACACCGCCACTCACTTCGATACGGTACAACGTGCCGTTGCTCGACTGCAGAGGGGTCAACCTCCAGCGCTGTCGGCCTGAACCATCATCGTGTCCAAACAGATCAACCGTTTTGCCGTCAGGGGTTGTGCTGAGCATGAGCGCATGGGAGTGCGTTCCACTGGCCACTAGGATGTTGTAGAAATCATCGCTCACGTGGACAAACGTCCACTGCTGACGTCCACTTTGGTCGTCGAAGCCGAAAAGGTCTACTACTCCGCCGCTCGTGCAACTCAACATAGTCCTGCCGCGGTCAGTGCCGCCATGCGGTTCAATGCGGTATACGCAACGCTCCTGAGGCAAAGTCAGCGAGACCCCGCGGGGAACATGCGCGAGGACAGGATGCTCTTCCAGAGGAGAGATCGAGACACCCAGGCGCAGCACAACTTCATCGACGTAGCCGCGGAAAGAACTGATCCTCATGCCCTCAGGGGCTCGGTAGAAGTCCCTGTGGCCGCCGCGGCCACCAAACTCTTGACTGTGACGGCCTGAGCTTGTGTACAAGACCATTGCGTCAATGTGACCGCCATGCCAGACCTCAATGCCGACAAGGTGTTCCCCTTCTCGGAGCACGAAGAGGTGGGGTTGGCCACCAAGCAACTGACCTCGTCCATGGTATGGCGCTGCTACTGCATGAGGTGCTGCAGAGCCATAGAAAGCCTGAATACCATTGATAGCCTCACCGGATCGGATGAAAACAGCTGAGAGCTTGCCCTTGTGCGCAAAGGCCAAGTCGTCAAACAACATGTTGACGCTGCCTTGCGCTGCGCCAAAGATGGGGGAGCCATAATTTAGTTCAGCCAACTGAAGCCACTCTAGCTCTATGGCTTTCTCTGCAGCTTCGGCCTCTGCTCGTCCTGCCTGTGCGCGCGATTGCTCCGTGGCAACAAACTCCTTCACATCAGCAGCCAACAAATCCACGTTGATAGCAGTGCTGATTGCCCAGCCCGGCCCTGGAAACTCCCCGGCCAGGCCCGCCACAAACTCCTCCGACGCCTTGCGATAGTCGCCGTCCCAGAGGCGCAAAGCAGAGAAGAAGAGGCCAGTGAAGAAACCGACCAAAGGGATGTCTTCCGCCACCTCCTTGGGCCCAAATTCCGCCATGGCCTTTCGGACTGCCTTTGCAATGGCTGCCTCCGCTTTCTCCACGCTGGCGTTGCCTTTGGCCATCCTCGCAAGCAAGGACTGGATGGCCTGCTCGGCCTCATGGACCAGCTTGCGTGCTCGGAATGGGAAGCCTGGATGCACGGGAATCGGCCGGTCGTGTCGTTTTCTCCTGGTCACGGCGATGTAGTATTTGTGGCCATCTCTGAAACTCAGGATGAGGGCATTCCTGGCAAAGCCAATGGCTGTGCTGCCAAACATCCTGGTGTCTTCGTCTGCAAGTGTGACTGCTAACGAGTGGTGGTGGGGGCTGACGATCGATCCGATAACGCCCCCCAGATTCTTCAACCACAGTGCCGACAGTAGGTGCGAAGAGATCGCCGTTTGTGTTCAGCCGCCTTTGCAATCGATAGAAGGCTTCGTCTGCAACTCGTGTTGGAGTTGGTCTCTGGAACGCCGGCATCTGCCTTGGATAATGCATGGTGTAGACCACATCGCCCTCTACCAACTCGTATGAAGTGGTGGGGCGGAGATCGGCTGCCATTCCAAGCTGCGGGATGTCTTTGTCATCAAAAGCTACTCTCAAGGGTCTCTGCTTGAGCCATTCATCCATCCGCGACAGGGCCTGTCACCCGAACATAAATGCATCCAATGGCATCTTGGACTGGGCCAATGCGTTTAGCGCGCGCGCACACAAACCACTTGAGTAAGTTAGCCAATGCCAAGTTATCTCAGGCCGAGAGGGCGAAGTCTCAGTGTGATCTCGAATTCGAACTTGCGCTGGGGTTGGGTTGGGTGGGGGTGTGGGGTGAGCTGGCGTGGGAAGCTTTGGACCTGGTAAAGATAATCCTGGGCCCCGGGGTGGGAGCAGAGCATTGACTCGGCTTGCCTCGAAGTCCAGGCGGTCGCTGCTTTGGGGCTCCTGGCCGGACATGATCGTTGAAAACCTGACCCACAAGGTGGGAGTTGTCTTCTTGTTGATGGTACACATGTTGTATATATATATATGTATATATATATATATGTATATATATATATGATATGTATATATGTATATGTTTTATCTGTCTTATTTTATTTAGTTGTTTGTTTGGTGGGAACGGGAAACTGCGATAGGAAACCTTCATTCATCGTGGGGAAAGGAAAACCGGGCCTGGCTCTGGTTGATTCCTTTCATTTGGCTCAGCCATCCTTCTTCTAAAACAATGATCCAATGTTTCTCGGGCGACGGCTTTCTTAGCGAATTCAAATTTTGAGAAACTGACTAAATTTCATGCCTTGAGCTCAAACCATAGGGGATGGTTCAGTTTTTAGTTTGGTGTCAGTCCTTCATAGTGAGCCATCAAAACTCCGCCAAGTGTGGGTCATGCTCATGGTTTCCTCATGCACCCTTGGGGTGTCTAGAATCTCGACGGGGTTGATGACCAACCTGACCACCCGAGTAAAAGGAGCTTTTGAACATGGCACGGGTGGGCCCCGAAGCAGTAGTAACATCCAAACTTGAGGCCTTCGCTGGGGCGATCAAACTGCTTGCCGGTGGTAAACCGTGACTTTACACAATGTCGAACGGCTCCTGTCAAAGCAAAGAGCGACCAAGAAACGAGCCTGGACTCAGCAAACACAAAGATCCGAACCAACATCCGGGGTATATCGTTGCTTGTTCAGACAACCCCAACAACCTCTGAAAAAGAAAGGTGTCAAACATGACGGTCCAAACCCAGCGGTGCTTCTTGGACAAGCTTCAAACATGGGAAACCGCAGTTGTGCGGTGCCGCCTTGGGTAACACGTATGCTTGGATTGGGAAACCCGAATCTGCTTTAGTTCTGATCCACTTGGACTGTTCGCATGTGGCCCAAATGACCATGGCTACACACAACACACACACACACTTTTAACACAACACAATATGTCTTTTACGCACACAAGGTGTGCTAATTCAGCTGCATTTGAAAAACACATGCTTCCCAAGGCCGCATCTGAAATGGAAAAAGATGAGCTCAAACGGCGGCATCGATTGGCAAACTTCGCCCAAGGTGCGAGTCGGAAGAAGGACGTTTGACAGAACAAAAGCGAGCGACTCCCGTGTTGCTTCGGTATCAGGAAAGTTCCTCTTCGATGCAAGACCTTGGGGGTGCATACCTTGCCCCCCGATGGTCAAATGTGCACCTGAAATTGTAGAAGAGCATGCCAGTGCGAACCAGGCTTGAGTAAACTGATATTTGCCCCAGAAACCACCGAGTACAAATACCCCCCCCTTTTCTGGGTTGATCCAAGAAGCACAAAACAAACGACGATACATTGATAAAGGCACCCTGGACAACTGAGTGATGAATTTGCATCATTTTTGACCGTTGGCACAATGGTGGGGACCCTCCCGTGGATCAAGGTTGCCTTGCCCAAGATTCGCCAGAGAGTGAGGGCCTATGTCCCAACCAAGTTGTTGATGTTAGGAAGTCATGCTGAGAATGAGAAGGTACGATGGTACAACCAATGAGTCAGCCCGAGATCAAGTGAAATCCAGCTGTGAGAATCTGATTCAGTTGAGACAACAGCCCGGGCTTCAATCCCCAAACACTACTCCCAACCACCAAACGCAGCACATCGTTGATTACTTCCTTTAGCTAAGGGTCACAATCTGAGAAACCATTCACCGGCTTGAAAAAAGAAATGCGATTCCAAGAATGGAGCCTCCGTGGATAAGCAGAACCCTTGCCCGGAGAGTCCCTTGATAGCAATGCCTCAACAGCCTCTTTAAGGGGCTCGCGGTGCCCAAAGCTGGTGGCAATTTCAGCAGGCGGTTTCATTGCTATGGCTGCCCATTGGGTACATCCCAAGTCAGAAACAAATGGCTTGCCTCGGCGAAGGGCAACTGCTCCGGAAAGAAAACTGTTCTCAATCAGTCGCGAGTGACAAATAGGACAGCTGCTCAGTGGGACCAGCTTACCTTTGGGTTGGTGAACATTTTGCTGAAGATGGCATTGGCTTATGGCATCACAACGGTTCCCTTTCTCTACAAGTCACAAAACACTGAAGGCTGCTTGGAAAACGTTGTTCTCTCATTTGCTTGTCGGTTTGTGGGCAATTCATGCAATTCGGATGTGGGAAACTCCAGCAACTTGCTACCAGCATCACGGAGTTGATTCCAACTTTAGTCACTTGCAATGTTTCGCGTTGGTTCTGTTTCCGTGATTACTCTCTAGTCAGGCTCACTTGATTCAAGGTGAACTACATAAAACATATCCCAAAGACAAAGATTATGAAATGCAAGGTGTGACATGTGTGACATGTGTGACATGTGTGACATGTGTGACATGTGTGACATGTGTGACATGTGTGTGTGTTCAAAGGGAAGCAAAAAGCAAACCGCCCGTGTCGGCCCAACACGAGAAGTACCTCAGTACCTCCGGTCGCTTGCCGCAACAAATTCAGCCAGGCCTCAGGAGTCCTGGCAGCAAAGAAGACCCCAAAGAAATACAAGGACTCCGCGCCGTCCTTTTGCGGTGTTCTATTATAAACCAATATTGAGCGCTGCCGCAAATTCATTTGAAGACATATCCCGGAACCAGTCATGAACCGGATCACATGCGGGGTTCTCGCAAAATGGGGGGGACACAAGTCTAGTCCCCACAACCCTGCTTTTGCCGTAAACCTCAACAAGGGTACCCTCCCACCAACGTGGAACCTCGAACAGGCTTTTCCTGGGAAGACCATGCTTCTGTAACACGACCTGCTGGTGGGTTCTATATCTGTGAGAGGCCCAAATCACCGCCCATGCAACGCCGGAGGGTCGCTTGGTGCCTTGATGTTCTAAGGTCCAAACCGGGTCAATGTACATCACACCTTTGGCATTGAGGCAAGAGCAAAGGATACAAACAACTAACCCACTTGTCTGGCAGAGATTACCCATGGGCTGGTTGCACATCTCTTTGTCAGTTTCATTACCCTTGAAGATTAAAAAGAAGGCATTGGGTGAAGATTCCATGTGCATCCGATTGGTTGCACGCTCATTCGGAGAGTCCACCAAACCCACCATCGGAAAAACCAACACCATAAACAAACTTGGATCAATCAAAGTATAATATATATATATATATATATATATATATATGTGTATGTGTATGTATGTATGAAACCAACAATAAATGAATGAATGTTGAGGATTGGGACCCAGGGGACGGTAATTTGGCCACATGGTGGCCAAACGCATGGCTCAACCACAAAGCAGCGCGTGGCTTTTCCGTTCGGCTGGCTCCAGTCTTGGTCTATAGGGAGTCACCCCGGCTGTTGGCGCCCCAGCCTTCTGGCGCGAACCGCCGGCTCGGCCCCAAACCTGGAGTTGGGCACTTTCGCCTGCTTCTCCAGGGCAACACTTTTGCCACGGCTGGATATGACTCTGGGATTCTGGGCAGCCGAGTGGACATCAGTTATGAGCATTTTTATGTTCACCAACCGTTAGGTTCTGAGTGTTGTTGAAGTTCAGACCCATCTCAGTCAACAGTCACTCTTGGATTTGCGCGGACAACAAACAATCCATTTGTCCACCAGTCAAGCTCGGATAGACTCGGGCTTGTCTCGAATTGAAACCAACGAAGTGGGTAATTTCCATTTGGCCTCCCTTCAGAACAAGACAGAGTCACCAGACTGGCGCTCATCCGTCACCGGCAACACGGCATTTTCCAACCTGGCACTGTAAGCCGTCGCTTCCAGTGATCGCTGGTTGGCAAAACTGGAAAAATTGATCCTAGATCCATACACGCTGTCAAGGAAGCATGATGCTCAGCCTGGGCAAACACAGCGGAAGATGTCTTTCTGAGCCGAGACCCGGAAGATGTCTTGCTGTCTTGCAGGTATGTCTTTCTTTTCTTGTCTTGAGCTTGGTATCATCCAAAGTTGAAGAATTGACTTAGGCCCAGAAAGATCCATTGGCGGCATTCGGCGTAGGGTCAGCCGGCCCAAGGCCAGATCTACCACTTCTTACGACTTCCCACATGCGCCATAGTCCAAGCTGCCCATGTGCATCATTGTCACGGCTCCCTGTCCAGGAACCCAACAGTAGACCCAATTCAGAGGCCAATGACCATCCCTTGTAAGTCCCAAAGTCTATAGGCCTTGACCACAGCACACATGTTCGATAAGCGTACATCAGCCCGCGAGAGCGGAAACTGGACGCACTGCTTATCACTAAAAGAGCGGCTCGGTCTCCGACTCTGACCCCGGCTTGCTCTGGTAAAGGGTGCTCAATTCGTTGAGCTCTGCGGCA